TATTTGCAAATAAGGGAAATCCTTTTATATATACCAAAATTACCCCAAATCCATTTAAACCCAATTCAACTCCAATTTCATGATTTACATCCAATTTAGCACAATTTCATCAATTAACCAATTTTAACCGTACTTTCAATTATGACCCCAATTTTGACCCGACACCAACGGAGACCGCCGGTCAGCCGCCGTTGACTCCGGCGTTAACTTTTTTTTTTTTTTTGTTGAAAACTTTTTTTTCCCGGTAGGTCAACCGCCGGGTCTCCGGCGTTGATTTTTTATTTTTTATTTTTTTTATAATTTTATTTTTTCTTAAAAAAAATATTTTAATTAATATTACTGTATTGGGTACTAAATTACTGTCTCCAACAGTTATTTAACTGTCGGAGACAATAATTTAACTGTTAATTGACTTTTTTTTCTTCAAAAATATTTTGATGAATATTACTGTCTTGGCTGCTAAATTACTATCTCCAGCAGTTATTTAACTGTCGGAGACAGTAATTTAACTGTTATTGACCTTTTTTTTCAATATTTTAATTAATATTACTGTATTCGTTGCTAAATTACTGTCTCCAACAGTTATATAACTGTCGGAGACAGTAATTTAACTGTTAATTTACTTTTTATTTCTTAAAAAAAAAAATTTTAATTAATATTACTGTCTTGGCTGCTAAATTACTGTCTCCAGCAGTTATTTAACTGTCGGAGACAGTAATTTAATTGTTAATTGACCCTTTTTTTTTGAATCTTTTTTTTTTCTTAAAAAAAAATATTTTAATTAATATTGTCTTGGCTGTTAAATTACTGTCTCCAACAGTAATTTAACTGTCTCCGATAGAAAGATTAATAATATTATTGTCCAATGTTGTTAGAACCGGACCGAACCGGCCAGTCGGACCGGTTCGACCGTGAACCGGCGATACAGCGGTTCTGTCTGACATCTCAAACCGGAAAAATTTAAAATCAGGGTCAAGTGACCAAAATCCGGTTCGACCAGGTAAAACCAACCCGAGAACCGACGAGTCAGTCAAAGAACTCTGTTTTTAGCCAAAACGTATCGAATCACCGCTGAGTTGGTTCTGTGTGTTTAGATTTGCGCGAACCTTCACAAACTTACTAGTGGGTGGGCGGATCTAGTCATAAGTGGTCGAAAGATTGTCGGATATGATCATTGGTGATCGAATAGGGGTGGCCAATTGCCGGATTTGAAGAATAAAAAATGAAAAAATATAGAGTATAAGCAATAAAATATAGTAAAAAGTGAGGTGAAGTAGATAAAAGTGAAACTAATAAGTGGGAGATTAATAATATAAAGAAAATAATATTTTTAAAATATTAAAATTAATAAAATAATGACATATTAAAAGAAATCAAAAACCCGGTTAAACCGGTTCGACCCTATAAACCCATGACCCAAATGGTCGTTAGGTTCTATAGCCGATCCGGTTCTGAAAACATTGTTACTGTCCCAAACAATAATATTATTGTCTGAGACAGTAATTTAGTAGCAAACACAATAATATTAATTAAAATATTTTTTCCTAAAAAAAATTTCGAAAAAAAAGTCAACGCCGGAGACCGGCGGTCAATGGTGGTTAACCGGCCGGAAACAAATTTCAGGAAAAAAAAGTTTTCAAAAAGTCAACGCCGGAATCTTGCCGGAATTTTTTTTTTCAGAAAAACAAATATTTTTTCAAAAAATTATTATTGTGGGGGTAAATGTGATATATTTGTTTAAATCCCGGGTCAATGTGTAATATTAAGGAAGTTAGAGCATAATGGATGGAATTGATAAGTATTATATTATGGAGGGTATTTAGACTAAAGACATGGGGATGATTTTATTTGAAAGACTGTTTTTGTTGTGGACCAATGTCCATTTAAGTACCATGTGATAGGCCTATTTGCCATTCGCCCTATTTTTTAAAAATAGTTGAGATTCTTGTAATAAATAAATCAGACCGAATGAGATAGAAATTCGATTGATTTAATATCTTTTCATTGTAACAAAGTCGGTAGGAGATTAATTTTCGGAAGAAAAAAAAAAGTCCGCAGGAAATTATTAACACAGTAAAACGAATCGGATTTGATCCCAAAATACCTCATGAAATTTGACAACAAAAACAGAACCACAAAAGAAAAGGATCATCCATTGTACAATAAGTAATCCTAAGGATGCACATAATTTTGTCCCACTTCATAAATAGAGCCCAAAAGATAATAAAATCAACAATAACATTTGTCATATTGGCTATTTAGTAATTTAATATAGTAACTTGAATTTAGATCTATTTTGAATGAGTGTTTTGACTTAAAAACATTATGTTTTACATGTTTATTATATTTTTATTATATAGATATAAATATTTTATACTATTTTTAATAGTTCGTCCAATATAAGTTCGGAAAGTTAGCCCACGGCGCGATTAGAAAAGAGTTGAATACCCCATCAAAGTCTACGGTTCAGCCGGAAACTAGTGACCCTTCCAAACTTGTTCTCGATAGAGGCGCAAAGAAGTATTTTTATTTTTTATGATAGGATGCAATATGTGAAGGAAAATGATACGGCATATACTTCTGAATCGATAACGTTATTATTATATCTTATATCATAGTATATATAATTGTGTTATTTGTCTACTCTTTTGCCTTCTACCCTTTTGCCTTCTTCAGCATATATATAAATGTGTTATATCATAGTATATATAATAGTATATAAAATTTTATTTTAATTCTTTGTTTCAAATACTTTATTTTAAATTTAATATATTTTTTATTCCCTATATGATGTCGGGCGAGAAACAAATTAAGTGCGTTGCTAATAACTACTAAATAGACATACACAAAGTAAAGAAAAGGACAATATATGTTGTAAGAATAATTTGCCTGTGTTTCTAACTTGTGAATCTTATAACTTGACACACACTGTCACACGTCACTCATTTTTGATCGAATACAGAACACAACACAACAATATAATAAAAAAACTAAAAAAATAAAAAAAGAAAAGAAAAAAGCACTTTGGTAACGACCGTCGAAAAAATTGGGTCTACACCAAACTTCAATAAAATATTTAAGTGGGTTTCGTTTATCAAAAATAGAAATAGAAATTATATTCACGATCTATGTTTCGAGTAAATAAATGTAATGCTGTTGATTTCTCAAAATCGACTTTTGATGAATGAAAAATTAATATATTTAGATGGACACTTATAACATCATTTATGAGAATGAGAAGATGAAAGGCATCATCCCACATTGGAAAAAGAATTTTAATGAGAACACGTTAAATAGTTGAAGGTGATTATCTAATAGAATAGTTAATAAACAAATGTGAGTTTAACTTAAAAGTCATTGTGGGCTGTGTGTGCCCAAGCACACGACTCGTCGGCCATTGTTTGGTTTGGAGTCTTAGACTTCTTTCTTGAAGGAGATTCGTGTGCATCAAAACTAATTAAGTTTTTTGTGGCCATGTGAAAATATGCCACATCTTTTCAACCCTTTCTTTTTCCTGAAGTTATGTCTTTTGGACATAAATAGAGCCCCCTTTCATAATGCCAAACTCACTCGAATTCACTACGTTCACCAGCATATTATTCATATCTTCCTTTCATG